CCAGGTGTTTCTCACATTCTCCACTCAATACTTGAATATAACAAACTTGTCAGTCATTATTACTATTTTGCTACCAAAACATGATTCATTCTTGAAGCACAAAGTTTTGTCTGAAAGAGTGCAAAAAATAGTCCTTTTTTATCAGTGTTTAAAATATTTTCTGAAGAATTATTAAAACAGTGATAATGAAAGAAAGCTTAGCCTTCCCCTATAATACTGTATTACAATCAAATCCACACAATTCTCCACAAACAGTTTTGAATTTAATATTATATCAGTTTTGAATTTTTTGAGCTATCCATTTGAGACTTTGAAGTTCTTGGCATCAAATTCAGATGCAAATTGTAAAGCTTTGGCTTGTATGATCTGCCCTGAAATAGAAACTCTGACTGTGCAGAACTGTTCTATGACTACTTTGTCAATGAGAGTGCTATTCCCACCATGCAACTGTTGATTTGTTGCTTGTTCTCATTACTGAATCAATGGCTGAATAGTTGTTTCTTGACAATTTCTGCAGCTTACATTTTCCCAATCTTGAACAATTTTACTGATTTTCTCATTCCACACTTCTCTCACCTGTGATATTCAATAATTTCAACCTTATTTTTAATGTTAGTATTTACATGGAATCATATCAAAACTTGCAGATTCTCTTTTCCAACACAAAAACATGTTTTGTCTTCACTACAGATTAAGAATAGATAAGGATATAGACAAAGACACTCACCAAGTTCTTATGTAGTACTTTCTATTGTAACAGTTTTCTAAATTCGCGTTTTTCATGAACTATAGAGGGCGCTGTATTTTTACAAAATGGCTACTCTATCTGGGTCGTTTGTTAGTCGTCAATGTAAAATGAATTATATATTACTATCTGATATAATGAAATATGCTACTTGTAGCAGTTCATCGAGAAATTTTATAGAAGGAGAACAAATATTACTAGCAGGGCACGTCATTTTATGTGGTATTATCGAGAAAAACGAGCAAGATCGTTCTGTGCATTTTTGTGCTCTTTGTCTGCAAACATCAGCATTGACTTCTATCCCACACAAAATTACTGGAATTTTAAAGTTTATCGACATATAATATAAAATTGAATAGAATTACATTTTATTGAAGATAATCCTATAGTATAGGTTAAAAACGAATACAAATACTAAATTACTTTATACTTAGACTCTATGCAATCTTTTTCAGTTTAATTTTTTAATACTATCGAATTACAATAATCTAAACATATTTATAAAAACATGATAGCATACATGACAAAATATAATCTTCAGGAGTAAAATGTTTCGAACATACTACCATATACTTCGTAACTTTTTTACCAATTCTTAACAGTCGAATCCACTCTTTCCGTCTATTACATTTCTGAGATTCTCCGAATTCTGATTTACGAAAAATCCATGTTTTTTCATGTGGGAATACATGTGGGAATACATGTTTTTCATGTGGGAATACATGAAAACTTATATCGGGATCACGTATGGCTTTGGAATTACAATTTGGAACACAACAGAAAGCTTTACTTTTACTTTTACTATTCATCTCTACCGTTGACAATATACGAAGAACATTCAAACGACCCAGATAGAGTAGTTCTGTTTTTAAACACCAGAGGGCAAGCATCCGGTGAAAAACGCGAATAGCCAACCAGTGATAGATGGTTGCTGAACAACTTACTTGGCAATCAATTTACCATAAGGCCTGTAGCTTACACAGATGTTCGTCTTCTTTCTTATGATAAATGCAACTGTCTCTATCATTTGTTGGCTATTTAAAAAAATTTCAATCTGTCATAAATGACACAAGAATGTGAAGAGAGTTCAAGACAATAGGTATGACAATTCTGAGACTGAATTCATGTCCACAGAGTTGTTTTGGACCAACCTCATTGTTGTGATATATGTAAGGAACATTACAGATTGATATGAATAGATATACAGTGGTGCCTCGTATAACGTACGCCTCGAATAACGGACGCTGCGAACAACGGACTTTCCGTTCGGCAGTTACGTGAGACGAACAATGCACTTTCTTCGAACAAGTGCGAATGATGTTTCCACTCTTTTGCCGTTGCCAATGACAATCTGCTATTTTTAGGATATATTAGTATTATTAGAATGTATTATTAGTATATCTGAAGTAGAAATGTAATGTAATATATGTTGATGATTTAAATAAACATTAAATGTAATGTAATATATGTTGACGATTCAAATAAACGAAATGTAATTGTGTAGATGCCGAGGTGGCGGGACGAAAAGAGGTTGTAAAAAACAAACGGAGCGAGAGTAGCTCGTAGAAGTGTTTAGTGATCTTAATTAATAAAGAATTATTCGTATCATATAATCTGGCAAGTTAAGTCATTTATAATGCATCATGGCTTCTAAAAAAACAGAAAGGTGATTTCAATTGAAACAAAGCAAGAAATCATCAGGAGTGAAAGTTGACAAAAACTTTCTTGTCGAATGGGGAGAGGTTCAGGAGTTTACCAACACTCATTATCCAAACAGAGCTGAGGCCAACAGGATCAATGATCTCTACGATGACACCTTTGTCCGTCATTTCCGACAGGTGTTAAAGAAGAAAGAGAAACAGACCACCTTGGTCATGTTTTTCAAGAAGCCAGCGGGCAAAAAACAAAGGATGGAACAAGAGGAGTTGACTCTGCAAGTCCTGGTAGCCTCTCCTGAATCTGACTCCGATTAAAAAACAATAAAAAGGGACCTGCTGCAATGTGTAAAAAGTGTGTATCTGTATGAATGTGTAAAGAAAGTGTTCTTCCACCTCCTCCTCACATCTGATTACCCGGCATAATTGGTGTCTGCTCCATTTTCGTTTTTTATGGTACAGTACGGTTATTTTATGCTGCGGAACGAATTATATGTTTTAACATGTATTTCTATGGAAAAATGCGTTTCGTATAACGGACGTGCACCTGGAACGGAATTAGTACGTTGTACGAGGCACCACTGTACTAAGCAAACTCCTACAATAGCAAGTTAGTTAACATAGAAATTTTACTGTGTTGTAATAAAATCATGCACTCAAATGATTTTAAGAACTCATCAAGGAATAGTGTTGAATCTTTTGAATTGATTTAACTGCAACCATGTAAACTCCAAACAAGGAAGTCAACTTGATGAGAAATTGTGTCTGTTATGAGAGATCAATTGTAATAAAGTTACATACTTTCTAACCAGAAAACAACCATTTATTAGCAGTGAATATTTATTATTCAAACGTTTTCAGTCATCTTAATCAACCTTCTTCAGATATTTGAATTTTACAATTTGCAAAAGTACAAAGCTGCTACTTATTCTATAATTATTTACAACATTTCTATTCTATAATGGAACATTGTAAACAACTATACAATAAGTAGCAACTTTATTCTTTTGCAAATTAAAAAATTCAAACACCTAAAGAAGATTGATTAAGATGATTGGAAACACTTGAATAATAAACATTTACTGCCTAATAAATGGTTGTTTTGTGGTTAAAATTATAATTGAATATTTGTAAGAGCTACATATGAATTACATAACATTTACAAAAAAATAAAATAAAAACTATTATAAAATGTATAGTACTCTAAAAACTAATGATGTAACACAAAACATATTACATACATACTTGACAACCTTTAAAATGGGGAATAGCTGGGACGCTGGTATAAAAACATTGACAGCATAAAAAGCAAAATAATTTTTTATTAATTAACATTGATATTGTAGAATGCTTATATTCAATACCTTTAATAAAGAAAATTTTAACATCATCTCCGCATATGATATCTTATAAAGCTATTGTCATACTCTAGACTGCACAATTTAAAAATAGGTCAACTATTTTATGGGACATATACCTAGATTCTATCTTGATGTGTCATGAATTTTGATTCTGCATGATGAGTGCATCATGCAGAATCAAAATTCACGACACATCAAGATAGAACATATCATAAATCTAGATGTAGATTTATCTAGGTACAAATCTATCTAGGTATAAAAACCTAGGATAAATCTAGGTGTAGGTGCCTCCTGTTATATGTTTTTGTGCAATGTTTTGCTTTGTTAATAATTTCTTTAGTTACAGTACAATGTACTCATGACGATTGCTATCAGTTAGTTTATTAACTTTCACTGCAATTATGAAAGACAATAATTTTTCTGTTATTTATTTCCTATCGCTGTCTTTTTCTTACCATACTGAATATCTTTTCCTTTTGCCTTTACTCAGCCTTAGTATTTTACAAACCATCATCAGAACTTACTATTTTACAAAGATTACAAATCTTTGTAAAGTCCCACAAGTCTCAAAAAACTAGCTTCTTTTCTTGGGAAAGTTCATGCCATATAGCCTGTATATTCTTAAGTGATGAATCAGATATTTCTTCTTTTTGGATGGAGAAACTGTAGCACTGCCCCAAATAATTTAGTATAACTGTAAAATTAATTTGTTTCCTTCTGCTAATGAGTCAGTCACGATTGATTTAACTGCCAATGTGAAGACACTTAACATTGCCATATTTGAGGATGCAATTTATCATATCTGCCACTTAAAATAATATCTGAGCTAAAATTCTCACACATATACCAATATACATATATAAAAATTTTCTTTCCCAATTGAAGGAATCTGAGAATATTGTTCTGATTCACTTCAGTCATTTATAATAAAATACAGGTAATTAAAGTTATATGGTAATCTATAGTTACCACTTATACATTTATTAAACCATGTAGACCATAAATCAATATACTTTTTATTTAAACAGTTTCCTTAGTTTCCTTTAAATACCTAAAACTGTGTTCGTGAAAATACATAAATGCAATGTTACAGTAAAATTAATTGCAAAATTCAGTATACATTGCAGCATGTATTAGAGATGCATGCTGCAATGTATGCAATGCAGATAACAATGCATTACTAACCAAATGTATGTGCATATTTTTTATTCTAATATTAATAATGGGGTCAAAGTATACCTAGGTAACCCCAATGGCGGCGTTTCCGACTCTTCGTGGTCCCGACGGACTCCTCCCGGAGGGGAACCGCCGGCGGGCCGCCGAGTGCCAAACGTCACTAGTTATTGATTCACGGTAGTTCTTGAACAAAATAAAGAAAAGGAAACGTCTACTAAACGTATAGTTAATCTAACCTAACCGAAGCGCCGCCATTAGGGTTGTCTAGGTATACTTTAACCAATAATGGTTTATATATACAGTATTATAATCTCGTGGAAAAATAACCAAAACTATTATTTTATAATTTCATCAAATTCAAATTCAAAACACATGCTTACTTCTCTATTTTTATCGCCATCTGCTGTCACGCGAAAATTTTAAATAACGAGACATTGTTGCCAATTCTAAATTATGATTTTCAAAATTATCAATGACTTACTTCAAACAACAATTTTTTATTTATAAAAATTTTGGCAATTGTGATGCTAAAATAAATTGTAAATTTCGAAGTAAATTTGTTATATATATATATGTCTGTT